GGTCACCAGGAGTAGTCAGGATACTATAAGTCATTGTAAGGTCACTTCTAAGACACCTATACTCCTCTTTATACGTTTTAACTTTGAGTCCTCAAGTTGATTTCTTGACTCGCCTTTAGATACATACCAATATATTCTTATCCTTTTGGAGTGATGGGACAAACACTATGTTTCTATACTCTAGGAGATAGTAAGTGACACTTCTAAATTGAGTGAGATGCTCCGTCGCCAAGCTGGCTAAAAGTGCTCTTCAAAAATGCTAGTAGTAGGTTTTCTCAAGAAGCATTTTTGTCGAAGTTAGCGTAAGACTTTAGATCATAAGATACCAAGATCAGAAATATCTCTAAAGTGGAGTTACCTGGATTGTATGCGTGACCTGTAGCATTTTTTAGATGGACTGCTTTACGCTTTAAGATGTGTAAACAAGTCAGGTAAAACACACTCCCTCCAAGTAGAAATCAAGTCCCAACCCCTGTTCCAGCAGACCAGTCCACTAACCAGTGAGTTATAGAAGTATGTCCTAAATACATCAAAGAGGACTCCACTTATAAACTTACGTTTTCACTTACTCGTGTAGAGTGGAAGCTCTGGAAGATTTTGTAGTCCACCGACATTATGGAGTATCCAACCAACTCCAAAACATACACAAGGCCCTAACTTGTAGTCTATGGTGTAGTAGCTGGTACTGTGTCAAGCACAAATAGGCTATTATAACTCCTGGACGGACTAATTTATTTATTCTTCCCAAGCCATATTTTGACCTTTTCACTCATTTGCTTATGGTCGTATGTGCGTTAATTACTTATCCAAATCATCATGTGTCTGTAGCTTACTTTTATTTGACCATAAATATCGAGTCACGCGTGACTGAGTAAAGTTGGTTCACATGACTCCGCCGATCCGTTTCGCTTCGCTCTTTCTTTTTCGTTTCGTTTCTCTGATCGTCTTTATGGGTCAACGATTGTTTGAAATATATGTTTTTAAAATTCATTTTCATATTTTACCAATGCTATTCCGTCATTCACTAGCACTACTTAAGTCGATGGAAATATACGAGGGTTGGAAGCCTGTATATTTCAATAACAATTACTCATACTATCAAAATGGAGTCAGGTACTGGGCCATAAAAGTGGTGAGCCCCTTGTGAGCATCATTATACAACCCAATTGGGGCCAGGTAATGGACCACTCAAACAGTGCCGTTGCACTCCCTCTCTATAAAAGAGATATGAATGTCTTAGACCAAGTACAGATACGGGCAGTCAAGTGGATAATAGAGCTAAAACACAAAGCTTACGAGGATAGACTCCAGCACTTGAGATTATTCTCGTTTTGCTGTAGGAGAGTAAGGGGTGATCTAATAATAGCATATAACGTATTATGTACGCCAAGCCAACCCAACACGAACATATTACGAGAACATCATCACCATGCTTCTCGAGGTAATCCTCGGAAGATTGTACATCAAAGAGCAAACAGTCAGGTACACTCTCACTTTTCCTCGTTAAGAGCTGCCTCCAATTGGAATCGCAATTCAGTAAAAGTAACCACCGATGGATTACCATCTCCCTCTTGTACTAGCTTTGTCTGATACATATCTCATAAATTGTCACGTTCACAGCTACCACACATTAGTAACTGCTTTCTATATCTCTTATCATAATCCGTGTTTTCCGTATTATTCTTTCGGTTGCTTCTTCTTAGACATTACTAATCAAGAAACTCATTTATTGATTTATCACTTCATTATTTTCCCATTGCAACAAGCCAACGTCCTGCCTAGTAATGTGGTGGCTTCTGACATCTCTAATCCCTACTAGCCTGAGACAAACGCACTTCCTCAAACTATAGGATATCCAAAACCACAGATAGCTGCCAAATTAAATAAAATTAGCGCAATCGAGTGGCTAAACTATCACCCATTTGGCACTACCAAATACCTGTAACCATACCAAAACAACAAGAAGTGAATGCAAAGACATCAGTTGGTTTATACAAGCTTGTGACAGAGATAATGAATGCATAATATTGGAACTCTTTTAGATATTTTTGCGGTGAGCTTGTATAAACCGATTGATTTATTTGCGGTAAAATCTTAAAGCTACGATGCAGTTCCATGAAAGTCGCAAGTTTCTGGTTTCGTTCAGTGTAAATAGTCTAGCCACATGCCTGCAACTATTCCAGTGCTTTATCAGTTGATTGGGGGTTAATATGCCCTGAGTTTGAACGAATACGCTTATTATTGAGCAGAAGAGTTGCTAGGAGTGACAGTTATCACATCTTCACGCTAGACTTTGGTTTGTACAATATACAGAATCATAACTTAAAATGTAGAGGAATGAAGATAACAGCCAGAATTATCGAAGGAATAGTTTACGCAAATAATGTCAATAGGTAAATGTCTAGCAATAATAAATAAATGTACGAAATAAGAAGTGGGGTGAGCAGAGATGGGCTAGTAATAGTCCAAAGGAATAGTATTGGTAGTAACAAACATTCTTAACTGCTTGTTAGCATAGTAGTTGTTATGCCATACCAATGAAAATGATATTCTCTGCGTCTACAACACTCTACATCTCGTACTAACGTCATATAGTGCTGAACATTTCTCATTACATGCTCTCGCATAAAGAGATTAACAACACCCATCTCTCTCAAGAGTTCCCGATTACATACGTGTACATAATGAGGTTCCGTATTTATAAGAAAGCTGTTTATCTGATTAAACGACTTTACTTAAATTAACGACTGGGACTTAATCGACTAATACCCATTTGTTTAAAAGTTACATTTATTCTCAGAATCCTTTACTGAAGTTACCAACACTCTGGTTTATATTTCAAATAAATGTAATCAGCCAACAGAAAATTATGATTCATTAAAATACTTTTTCTACTATGTTTATCCAAATCGTTTTATTACCCTGTTAGAATAAGGTAAACTGAATTTAGGAGGTTTTAATTCTGATATCAACTATGTCTATGAGCTTTAATTGTCTTCCTTGTAACAAACAAATTATTATAAATTAATCTCTGTAGGTTTTTATTCACTAGATTTTACATCAACAGATAATTTTTCTATCTCCTAACATTCATTCAAGTAAGGTCTTTTATTATCTTGACAGGGTGATTATTCCATATTTCCCACCAATTATAAATTGATTATCATATCGTAACATAGTTATTCCAGATCAACTGGTAAACATTCGATTAACGTTCATTTCTCCATTTAATTATCTCATGCTATAATCCTACGTAGACATAAGCATCTTTGCTATTGCAGTTTATAAACGACGTCAATTATTTTGTTGAATTGTTGCTACAAGTGTATCTTAAGTTATCTATGGTTTTCACCAAAACAAGAACTACAAGATTTAGGAAACAAAAAGAATTTATTTTATCTAGATGCTTTACTCCAGCTACAAATTATCCAAAGTAATAATTATCAATATTATTAACCCCGTTTTATGTACTTTAATCAATGAAGTCGCTCTCGAAAAGGGAAACAACCTCATGATAACAGGTGATATAAATATTTAAAATAATGGTAAATAATCAAAATGGATTAGATCCAAACCCCAAAGCTTGAATAGCTATCCCTTTTAAATACGACATATATTAGCTTCGATGGTCAACCAGTATCGTAATACTCATACAAACAATTAGTATTACAAAGATGATGTTAAAGAGTGTGGTGCATCCTACTTACACAGCCATCACAAACAGTGAACGCTACAACTAATTTTGTTAAATTTTGTGTTTGTCATCACTTTAAAGGTGTGACTCATTTTTGATTCTCTGTTGTATCGAATAATTTTGCGAGATAACAATAAGCTTGATATTTAAATAATTCGCAAATATTTAAATAGACTCCTTGTATTTTCGTTGACTTAAATTTAATGCTGAATGAACGATATTTGTCCCCATGAATCTTGACGTTTAATAGGTCAGGAAAGAAGTATATTAGTTAATTTTGTCATTAAATAATTTGGAAAAATTCTTTAAATAATATATTCTGAAAAAGAACGCATATTTTTAGCACAATAAATTGACTGTATACACTTTAACTTAAGTTTACTTAGTGGTCAACGGTTATGAAATTCAGAATTTATGGCTCATTTTGTTTGAAACAGATCAGATTGCTGTTCTCACTGAAACTTAAACTATTTAAACATCTACAGTGTAAGTCACTTATCCATCTGAGAAATAACAAGAATTTGAACGTCAAGGTTGACCTAAAGATTCAGCTCATTCAAATCAAAACTGGATATCAGGTTTTAGAATTTCATATAAAGATCAAACACCAAAATAACATCGTAAAAATACATTTTTCAAATGTTTTGTACATTCCATTAATAATAATGAATACAAAGAAAACAAGAAAAACATTGTACATTATTCATTTTAAATTTGCTATAAAATTTTCTTTTCTATTCAAAAACTGATTAATTTATTATGTATACAAAATAGCTATTTGTATTTAAGTGTTTGAAAATGTGACTGATAGACTATAATGCAACTGTAGTTGTTCGTTTCCTAAATATCTCATGAGTTCTCTCGACTCCCAGCAAAAATCAAAAATTAATAAATATCCTGAAGCATTTAAAATAACATCTTTTTTAAATTTCTATTGAAAATATCCCCAATGAGGAAGATGTGAATAAACAAATTAAAAGTAAACTCTTCACTTGTTTCACACTATCCTCCTACTCTCTTCAATTATTCTCCTCTAATCTTTAATAATTTTTTTTACATTTTTGTTACTTCAGAAATAATTATGAAATAAGTGAGAAAATTTTAAATATTACAAAATATCACAAAACATCGAGTAGAAAAGAAACGGATTGTTTGTGAGAAAGATAATAATACAGAAGAAAAATAAAATGTTATTTATAGTTAGTAAATGTATTAATTAATTCATTGTAATGGTTATTAAATTTCAGTATAAGTAAATTTCTTTATTTTTAAAAATCAACATTGACTTATATATATATATATATATATATATATATATATATATATATATCGTGATTTTTGTATCTTTAACAGTGATACTTATTAGAATTATTTTATTATTAGTATTAATAATCGGAATAATAATAATAATATTTATTCTGTTCCAGTAGCCAAATTCCAATTAACTGGTGAGACAATTACATCAACTTCAATGAGAATAGCAATTGTTACAAATACTAAGTAGATAATTATTAAAACAATACCATAATAACGATAAAACTGAAATCTTCCTATTAAAGCTGTTAATATATTTAATGTGAGTACTGCTAGCAGAGAAGAGAATAGTAAAGCTTGAGTAAGTGTAAATGATAACTGTAGCATATTTGACATTTTTTTATGTTTCCAAAGTTAATTGTTTTCGTATATACCCATACAAGAAGGTAAAAGAAAAAAAGTGTAAAAATTATTAAGTTTACCAACTAATACATCTAGTTGGAATTTATTTTAAATATGAAAGTTTATTGTACCAAGATATATGACAGGATAGTATAACTAATTTAAATCATCTATAGACTATATAGTTATCTAATTCTACAAAGTTATTTATAAGAATAAGCTTTATTAGGATGAATATCAGCCAGAGGACGAATAAAAATCAGTAGGAATTGTATAATTGTTCCATATTAATAATGAACTCCATACTGCCTTATCCACTACGGTATATAGAATCAGGTTAAGTGGTTACCTCGGTCAATTCTGTTAAACATTTCGGTTTAAATTTTATGTAACACTTGTTCATATATTAATAGATTTCTTCAAATATTTATTATTTCTAATTTATGAAATATTTGAATAATGTAATACAAAATATACTGACTGTAAATCCCGTCAACACTTTGAAAATTAATATTAGTTTATTTTTTCAGTGCATTTAACATATAACTCTGAAATTAGTTCCCATATGTGTGTACATTGCCTGAAAAACCACAAAACTTATCTCTTTCTCAAAGCTGACTTCATTGCATTCAATTATAACTTGGATAGTATTTAGTTGTGGAATGCAAGACCTATACCTCATCTTATTTGATATATGTCAGCTGAATTGGTCGTATTGCAGTGATACCCGAGCCCTATCCCCATCGTTTTAAAAGACGAAATGTTAACCACTATATTGCTGAGCAATAATAGTTACCACCTTACTCAAAAGATATGATATTATCAACTAGAAGAGTTTGCACTTTCATTTAGTTGATACTTGAAGTCATAGCTACTAAATTCAAGTCACAGTCTTGACAGTAATCAAAGAATCTATGTATATTTAACTAATAAAACTCAGAAAATGACACAAGCGGCAAAGTGGCGTTAGCTGATGGTTACTATTGAAATACCAACCTGAACAGACGTATAAAATCGAGGTATTCCTTCAGTTAACTTGTAAATCAGTATAGACTGAATATTAACCACTGGAAAATGCAAACCCATACAATCACATCGTTACATTACAGACATATGAAACTCTGTAGGTAAGCTATTACATCTAGGAATAATCCACTTATTGAAAAATATCACGAAGTACAAGATTTTTATCTGCTGCTTGTAAATGATCAATATCAAGTAAAATCTATTGTTGTGTTATAATACCCAATTAACTATCTGATTCCATATTCTAGTTAAAAGTTTTCTATAAAAACTATGAACTAGAGTATTATATAATTTGACTGTTTTTTTTAATATATGTACTATCACTTTGACAAAAATAAACATTTATCTTAATTATTCATCGATACAAAGTATTTACCATATTACTACTACTTACATATGCATATCCAACTTCAGCTCTGCCAATTTTGACAGTATATGAAAGACCAGCACCAAGTAGCAAATTAAACAATGGTGAACCTAGACAAGCTGCATATGCAATTCTAGGGTAGCCATTTCGAGCCAATAAACAATTCGACATTATGTCTAATTCGTCATTATTCCAATAATAAGAATAAAATAATAATTTTAAGATATTGAGTAACTTGTGTAAGTATGCACAAAATTTAGTATTACCAAACTACAACATACTAGAGCTCATCTATCTCGTGACAGTCAAGTTAACAAGAGTTTTCCCTACCATTATGAATTATGACCGCTGACTAATAGCACACAACAAAACCATTAGTCGGAATATCTATTTCTATCACTTAGTCCCTGAGCCAACCGGTAACAAGTCTGCCAGCACTAGTAGCCTTTATTCATTGCTAAGTCCTTATTGATCTTCCATACAGTAGCTTCTCACTCCGCTTGTTGAGTCCAGCATTCAATGTATGAATATTATATTTTAAACATACCTAGTTTATATCCAGATACACCCAACCACATTACTCCATAAAATGAAAAATAACAATTATACATCATCAAACCAAAAAGTGACTGTGAGTAACGATAGGTTGGCAACAGATTAAGAATAGTAAATCATATAACAGTTAGTGAATCAAATGAAAGCACATGGTTAATCTATATAATCTGGTTACTTAGTGATTATACAATAGGAATATGTACAATAATAGTCCATAAATGAATCCTGGCAGTTACCATTCTCCTCGTATTCGTCGAATATAATGACTACACTTTTTCAGTTATCAGTTTGAGCTCATAACAACTTTTATATAGTTTATTAATAATATTATTATTAGGACTTTGAAAGTTTATTTATCACCTTTCAATAGAAACCCCCACTAATTGAAAAGCAGTGGTAAACCAGGGAGTAGTTATCGAACAAATCTTAATTCCTGGTCTGAATCTGTTTAATATGGAGCACTGCTAATATGACAGAACTGCAAAAAATTACTCTGGAAACTCCTTAAAACATTTTTAATCGTTTAGAAAATATTTCCATCTCTATTTTACGTTTGTTTTTGAAAATAAACATTCTTTCATGTTCATTTACTTTTGACATAGATTAATCTGTATACAAAAAGTTCTTTATTATGAAGAATATCTTTCAGAGATTTTCATGCTTAAAATGTAATTCATGGAGATCGGTGAGCATGCGTAGTTTTCCTGTAATAAGAGACTGGTGACAATAGAAACCTCAAATATAGCTACATGACAACTGAAAACTAAAGAAACTATTATTGCTAACAGAATGATTTGAATTAAGCAAATCATACTAACTGTTTTCAAGATTCCCATTCAAGATGTGTATCTAATAAGTAATTTGAGCTTGAATGAAAAATTCTATGCGGTTTGTGTCACTACATCAAAAGTTTAGACAACAATTGGTCAAGAATGCTTGCACATTGTTATAGTTAAAGAGAATTCTAAATAATTAGTAGCATTCACTAACAATAGAGAAACATCTGTTTGTAAAATTCAGAGCTTCGCCTTGTACATCCTAAAGCTAATTATGAGTACTTTCAGACCTTCTGAAGTACTAATCACAACTAATCCTTGACATATCTGATTTAAATCATTCTTAAATACAACTTTGATGAGCTTCATATCAAATTGGTTGAAAACCTATCATTTGTAAAAGGTGATTAACAGAGCTAAATTTTTTCGAAATTTTCAATCAAAACGACCCATCGGAATTTTATGGACATTCAAAACCATAGATCATTAAACACAACAGGATTACTGAAAAGTATCATTTAATCTCATGCAAGAAAAAAACTTATCTTATTATATCTATCAACGTAAAATAAAATTATACTACTGACCTCCGATTGAACTAGCCAATGCCATAACACTAAGTCCTAGAATAGCTTCACTGATTTCCCATACTATACCTAAAGTTTCTAATGAATTCACTAATTCATGAGCTAATGCATATATCCATATAATTGATGTGATAAAGCCAAGTGTAGCAAAAAATGGTCTGTGATAATGCCGAGGTGGTTGATTCCATTTTGAGGTGAAAAACACCGTCAGTGCAATAATGAATCCACTAGCTAGAAATGGACAAAATATTGGTATCGGAGTTTCTCCAATCGGTGATAATCCAATGCATTTGCCATTAGCTGGATATGTTTTTGAAAAAAAGGAGTAAATAAATAAGTGGATTACAATGAAAAAAAGAATAAAAAAGCAAAATTAAAAATCTGAGAAAATCATAGTTAACAGACTGTACACATATGTTTAAATAAAATAATTTAGTTGGATAGTGAGCCTAATAAAAATCAGACATTCATATGTATATTACTCATCTATTGATTGAAATAAATAGTTTTAAAACAAATCGAACTGAATTCACTGTCTCGTTTCATTGGTCGATTATTATTATGACAGTCAACCTCAGGGCAGTTGTCATTCGGACTGTTTGTTGACTATACTTACTAGTATCATGAAGATAAGTCGAAAAAAACATCAATGAATCAATCGTGAAGCTCAGTCACTCTTTAAATTATGCTGTCAATTTTAACAATCATGCTATTTAGAATATTTTAAATGATGTATTCTAGACGTTAGTGGTGACAAATTATAAAGAGTAACAGAGACATTTCGTATTTACTAATTCTACTACTCGTAGGAAGAAAGTCACAATGGTCAACGTTCATGAACAGGCAAGATGTAGTTTACCATCAGTTAAGGTAAAAACAAAAGAAATATTTATTATTAAGTGATAAGAGGATTCGGACGTACCGATCAAAAACTATTTACCAGAAGTTTACTGAATAACAGGAAAAATGACTAAACCATAATAGTTGAACTAAATTGATCAAGGTAGTGTAATAAATTAGGCTTAAAGTAACTAATTCATTAAGTTTATCCATTCTTTGTCAAGTTTGAAATCTGCTGGCATCATTTTAGATTATCTGCTTATTTCAGTTAATTATCATTGTGACAAAAATCTAGATTGTTTATTTTATTTTACCTGTCAATAACATAGGCCATAAAGCTGGTACTAATAGACATTGAAAAACGTTTAATGGTTTACACCATCCGTGCATTAACTCTAAATTCACTGCAACAGGTTCATGATCAGTGTTCTCTGGAACAAAGTTATTATTATGATTTAATTCAGGTTGGCTAGAATTCAAAGTAAATTTATTTTCTTCCGGAATTGTACTTATTTCTCTAGATGGTTCATTAATTTTCTGTTCAATATTTGATTTTTGAGCAGAACTCTTCGTTTCTGTATCGTCTGCCAGTTCTTCTATTACAGTTGGTATTGTTAATCGAAAGACCAGAAATATTGGTGTCTGTAAAATCTGTAAGAATCGACTAAATACTGATTGTTGAGGCCATGATTCTACATCGATTGGTATCATATAATAAGCAAAATGATGCCATACACCTTTCATAGCCCATTTTTCTAACCAAGATATTTCCTCTACCTCTTCATCTTCTTCATCGTTCTCCCCTACTTCTTCTCTTCTGACTGTCGTCTCCTTTTCATTTTCATGTTCTTTGAGACTTCCTTCTTGAGGATTAAACTTTGGTAAGGTACTCGAAAATTTGATGTCGTTTTCACCAACACCTGGCATTTGTTGTTTACCTGTTTCCAAGTCAGATGGTAGAACATTTAGTTTTATCTTTTTTAGTGAAAGAGATGATTTGGGCAGTGTTTCCTCTTCAATTGAATAGGCAGATAATGTCGGTGATTGCATATAACCTGGTGTATTTGTTAGATTCACTGTGTGATTTGATCCTTTACGACCAAATAAATCTTAAGAAAAGAAGAGGAAAGAATTGGAACAGACAATAATAAATTTTGAGGAAGACCGTAAATATGTTCTTTTTGCACAACTATAAAAAACCTAGATCAGTCTCCTGTTGATTGATTCATTCTATTAACGTGAAATTCAAAAATGTCAAAGGCTCAAGTGAATATGATCAAGGACCATTTTATCTTACAAAACAGAAAAGGGATGAAGAAGGATAATTAATTTTCAAGTTGAACCTTCTCTACAAATAAGCTTATTCATGTGCATTCAAACAAAAAAAGAATCAAAATATATAATACAGTAATTTAGTTATATTGGTTAGTTAAAACAGTTAATCTAACGATACAGATTATATATATACATTGAATTATTGATTAATTACTGTTAACTATTATCAGTTCAATATATTCAAATTTACCTATTAAAAACAGATATTTAAAACGATATATATTTCATTGTACATTTTAATATCGTATTTTCAGTCGTGATTCAGTGTTTGAATCCATGTTTGGCGTATCAATAAATCTTCATCTACAGCATCGGATTCTTCTTCGCATCGAGTTATATCGGTCTTATTCCGTTGAACAAGTAGAAATTTATTCCTCAGTCACGAAAAAATAATATTAATCAGTTTTTTTGTTAAGACATGGCATAAATCATCTGAAGATTTGTAATATTTAATAGATTATCTATTTATTTCAAATTTCAAACTCATGAACAAAATCTATGAATTGGAGAGCTCTATTTTAAATCTATGCAAATTACTAAAAATGCTGATCCCTGAAAAACTAACCTGATAAATAAAAATTTAATCTAAACAAAGTACGATTTATGTATTGACTGTACACTAAATAAAACTTGAAATACATAATTGTTCAATATCTTTATGATGCTATTTATAGTACTCACAAGTAGTTCATGAGTTTATTTACTTGGGTTATGGTAATTGATTCAATTTCCAAGATAACTTTCCACACAGATTGACATCTACTGAAAACTTTTCAAAACTAGGTAGCATTAAATAACTATTTATTTTCGGTTGAAATCTTTTTACAATGACACATTCACTAACACATATTGTCAAACACAGAGGATCTATAGGTTTGGGCTGTTTTCAATATTGTTGTATAATACAAAATATTGAATAATGGTGTACTTATTTATCATGAACCAGTTAAATGAACAGCAACAAGGTTCTAATAATAAGTCTATATATATTCATATAATTAACTAACTATTCCCAGAAGTTACATTCTCATTAGTTTGTTCTTCAGGATCATATGGTGAAGATTTCTGTGATCTTCGTGTTTCTCCATCTCCTAGAATACAAAAAAAATTTATTTATTTATAATCTGTTAAATTAATATTGATATTTAATCTGAGAACTGAAATAGTCAGATATAACATGTTCTTTTAAAATGATACTATACCCTAAACACGTGTGATTACGGATAGATCACAAGATTTTGTGTCATGTTGAATTATTCAATTGATTGCTGAAACTCATTGCTTTCACTCAAATTCCTCTGTGTTAGTTTAATTCTTAGGACTACATTTTTTCTTTTTATATTGAAGCATATTCATCAAGGATAATAAAAAGTAATAAACGGTAAATATGTCACAAACTAGATTGTTCATGAGATAAGAAAAATTACTAATTAGTCTGTTTGTAGTCATTTTTTGTTAAATAAACAGAGTACTGTACCTAAGTCGGGTTCTTTAAGCTAACAGAAATATAAGTCACTATCCATTTCAATTTTGTCATTATTCACAAATACTTCCAATGATAATACAATTCTAATTTATGTAAAAATAAATAGAATGAGTAAGAGAATGTATAATGTAATCAGCCGCATGAAATATGCAGTAACTGTGGTAAACATTGTAAGTAATACTGTTTTTTCTCAAAGATTATATTAAATTATCCCATAATTAAATGTGTTAGCTCACTACTGTTGTCATTAAGCGGTCTATAACCGTCATTCTTAAATTCTTTCAAATACTTTATTGTTACATTTGTTGATTATTTGTATAATTTATTCGTTCTCTATTCACCTTTCTGTGTTTTGCTAAATTTTAGCCAATTTCACGTTTTGTGATAACTTTTTCACACTGATTCAACGAACGTATCAGATAGCTTTTACGTTACTATTCTAGTATATCAGTTTAATTTTAAGTACCTATGGTTGTTTCTCTCACTTTAAACCATTCAAGATATCTGCTTGGACTATTTTTTGAAATCTTGTTTATTTTCAATTATTTGTCGATTGTAAAACGTTTCCGCAAGGAACGTTTCCGAAATTCCGGATAATACGAAGTACAATTAATTTATCACTAAGTAGTGGCTAATGTCATGCTTATCTAGTACTTTTAATGCCGACTGAATTCGATCGATCAAGTTGCGATCGGACCATTATGTTAGATAGTTACAGATAGTCGATAGGAAACTGTGAGACCCAGTTTAGCACCATTTACACTCGTCAGTGAGGTGTACTGCACGGCAACCTGATCAACAGGATTCGATAAGTACCAAAAGAAATAAACAAGCATGATACTAGTCACTACTCACAAACTAATCAGTCGTAAACACCTGAGTCGCAGAGGAGGTTAGTGGCTACTTCAGTAGCTCAATAGTAAAGTTTCAAATTGTGAGACTGGGTGATCCGTGTACGGATCTTACGGCTAGCATCAGTTCCCCTACCTTTACAGGTACGCCTTGTAGACGAGCCCTTCCAACCACCCAAAAAATATCAAGTAATTTGTATTTATTACTTGTCATTGCTCAAGTTCAGCAGTGTTGTGTACTTCCAAATAAACGTCTTTCGATTTTGAGGTTATTTAGTATCATTAGGTTAATATCCTTAATGGATTGTATACACCTTATCAATAAAAAACATATTACATGTTGATAAATAAAAATGTTGGTAATGCAACTTACGTGAACCCATGGATTTCTCCTTTAATTCCCGATTTGCTACAAAGAGAATTGAACAAGTGAAAAGAAATTTAAAAAGATGCTCAGCTGGAAAATTGAATATTCCACTTACTATTGAATATTGAACAAGTGTTTTTATAAAAATATGTCATGAATATACGTACAGTTATTTAGGAAACTAAACATGGCTCAAATTTTATGCAACTGTCAGGCTATCGTCAAGAATTCATCAACCGAGGTTTTCCTAGTTATCGCTCTCGCGATAGTTATATTTACAGCCTTAATAATTCTAAAAAAATTGATAAAACCATACTTCGGTGAACAAATCAGTTTCGAGATAATGACTTCATAGTTATAGTACACTTATGGTTCTAAAGTATAATGATTGAAGAAATGTGTAAGCAGAATGTGTAAGAAGTTCTTTTCTTCGAACTAATAGGTTTTTAGTATATGAAACAGACGTCTGCAAAATAACATTACCAACACGTTTCCACTCTAACGTCTTCCATATTAATCCTTATTAGTGTTAACAAGCGTAATTTTATTAACCCTCTAACGAGTGCACACTCCAACAATATAGAGGCTGTACGGTAATGATCAAAAAACTATCTACTTCTGTTGTAAATTACCCATTAAATTCACTCGAATCCTGATTGACAAATAAGAGGGGTAGTAAAATTTTCCACGACCATTATTACGGCCACTCAGTTTTATCTTTGAAGTATGGTTTTACTAGAAAAAGTTTTGAATTATTATTACTTCTATCAGTTTAGAGAATCATAAAGTTAGAACTTCATCATTTTTTACTTCACTTTTAAATGAATTTTTCCGTAAATTTTCACAAATATTAACGCCTTTTTATTTAAACTAATTATAGATAAATCCCTGCATAAGATTTTATGTAACTTTTGAAGATCTAACTACGTGTTATGTTTTTGTAGTTACTAATGTCCTAACTTTTTTATTTCTGAGATGATAGGAACATGTACGTGAGATTTATGAAATTTCCGTTAAAATATGATTAAATATTAAAGTATGTATGTGTCAAGCTCGTGAAAATCTATCCTATCACAATAACATTCTCTAGAGAATCATAGAAAAGAATTTTTTCATATTCTAATATGTATCTATTATCGAAGACATAAGTTATGCTAGAAGTTGGTCAGATACTTACAAGCGACACTGAGTGGGTACAGCTGTATATTATCAACAGATCTAAATTAAAAATGCGAACCCATTGTATTTTGCTCAGTTCGCTACCTAATGGATATGGATTCGATCCTATATAGAGTGGTGGCTATAAATTGTTGAGGAGTCCCAAATACTGACTAAATGTCTTCAAGTTCTGTTTCATTCACAATTATTATTTTTTATAAAAAGTATATTGTTTTTCACAAGTTTCTTTGAATAATACATTTTTTGTTATCGTACTAGAGAAAATAGTAAAGAAGCGAGTAACAAATCAATCAGATGATAGAAAAATACTGACGAAAAATAACCCAGTTAGATTACCTGTACAGATTTTGTACATAGTGACAATAACCCTAAATATATATTAAATAAATTCATTCTGTGTTATGAACTTATAAAGTTAGTTTTTTGCTGACAGCCTATCGTTACAAGTTTAATCTAAACCTACCACTTTATGCTTTTAGGTAAGATGTATACAAAATAGTCATCTAACGAGATCACTAGTTTTGTGAATTGATTTTATCGGTGACTTCCTATTTGTTACTATATAGTAACGATTCCAAGGACAATTCAAATTTCGGCGTTGTACAGGATTACGGGAAAACGTAGTTTACACCTTTCCGTACAAATAAAAACTAACTGATTACAACTTTTTTCATACAAATCATTAGAAAAAAACTAACATCAATTTACCTATAATCCATCGTACCATATAAGATAACTCGTACCCTGATGTACTCATTCTAGAACTAGGTCTTCTTCTAAATACTGATTGTGCTCTGCGACAACGTCCACGACTTAAACCAGAATTTTCAGTTGATAAACGTCTATCGCTTGACATTGGTTCAGTTGAAATTAATGAAGATGCTCGTTTTTTAGCACCATCAGGTGGATTTAAATAATTTTTAAAATCGTGTGAATCAGATGACAAACGTGGACTTTCATCTCCATGTAGATAAGATGAATGATCCAGATGGGAATTGAGCTCGTCGATATCTTGTGGCGAAGTGATTTCAATTTTCGGTGCATTTATTTGTCGACTATTTATTCGTTTATCACTGACGTGAATATTAGGAATTGTAACTTTTTCTCGATCTATATTTTTTGTAGTCAACAAAAAACATTTTTGGTATAATAAATTTAATGGCGTTGGATTAGAAAAATGTACTTTTTATTCTTTCATATTTAATATAGCAAAGAAATTATTATCTTACACCCGACCTGCTTTATTCGATAGGTTATAGTCTCCGACTAAATACTTAATGAATGCATTATTAAACTGGTCATTAGTGAACATACAACTATTCAACTTAAATATAAATGAGATGGAATAAAACAAGCATCATTACCAAGATTTGACTTGATAATTCCAAATAAATTAAGCATTGCGTAGATCGTTATAAATAAAAATAATATATTTTTAATATCACAATGAGTAGAAAAACTAGATTTTCTGACGTTTCGTGACTCAATGTATGCCACTTTTTCAAGTAATAAATAAGCAAACTAATCTTGAGTTAATTTTGGTTTGGTTATTTATTCCCTAAAGAAGTGGCTTACTTCGAGTCACGAAATGTCAGGAAATCTAATTTTCAAATGTATTATTTTTATTTGTGAATAAATTATAAATTTATTATCCTAAAGATTTAGTTAGATAATTTATCTATCCAGTACAAGTTTATCGACTCAAATTAAAGCCGCACCTTTTTATACAGATGTTAATGGTACTATCCGGCTTTCTAGACAGAAGTAGATGAAGCAGGATTCTAACCTGTGACCCATTAGCCAAAATCTGAGAGTTTTACAATAGCTGAATCACCTGTACATATTATTTTATGGCATAAAATAACAGTTCAATGGTCCAATTACAAATCTACAACTTTTTAAACTTATCTATGACTTTTAAGTCGCATTGTGTAAAGCATTAAAGGATGAATCAAGCGATATTGCGAAATATTCGAAAAAAAAGTGTTTTTTATTGGAACGTGGCTTAACTAGAGATTATCGGAAGCAGTCAACATTGAAAAAAATAGTAAAAATCATTCCTGATTGCCAATAAAAAACAACACAAACCACTGCATAACATCTTTCATGAAAGCCTTTGTATGGTTTTTATGTGTTATGATTCTCTAAGATAATTTCAAATTATCGAATCTAATATGTTTTATGTACACCTCTCCATGATATCTAATACCCTATGGAATCTATTTTCGAAAATAGTCTATTTACCTCTAGTATGGTCTATAAACCTAATCGGACTCTAGCTATCAAGTTGAACAGTGGTTATCCATCCGTGAAACTGGACACTGTGCTCACCATATATATTGCGAATCCCCTGAACGTCAAAGCCCGAATAGTTTGTAATCTAAGTCCACGTTTCCTGTCATGCACCACCAATCAACTAAGAGATATCCATTTCTTTTTTCTCGTTGTAATTTGAGTTAGCGATGATGTCTAGAAAGATAATGACAGCTTTATGCTCAAATTATTAAGCTCAAAGAATTCAACACCATCAACATACTTTTTATACAAACAAAATAATTGTCTGTGCTATCCAAATATGCATTTGACAATGTAAATAACTTTGACGTTATAAATGAAGCAACCATCATAAAAAAAGACTGAACTATCATCCTAAATATGGATTAATTGTTGTCTTTTTTTAAAAGTACAGCAATCAACTATGTAACATACTTACTCCCCAAAATCCGGTCACCATTACAGTACCTGACTGCTGAGAGAAACGTCATATTCATGAGTAATTTGCATAACGTCATAAATCCATGTCACTTTCATGTAAAACCTTATCTGTTTGACATGATACAAACCATTAGAAACGAAAAACTTGTCACTCAAAGTCCATATGGAAACAAAAATTTTAATCGCTAATTGACTTATCTCAATAAATTATATCATAATTCCATTCTTGCAACAATACAAAATGCATTTTTTCACTTACCTCTCAATTCAACATTTCCATTTACTTTAGCAACTGCTGATAAAATTGTCTTTTCAGGTAAAACTTTCTCGGAAACAACACTTGAATGCAGATTTTTCATTCCATCTTCAATAATTACATGATTTTGCAATGATTTAGATTTTTTAAACTGGAAAAAATTTATTTTCTTTCGGATTCTTGTCAAAAACATAAATTGAGGACAAATGCGTTGACATGTTTGTAATAAATTTTGTCGTTTACGACTTAATGTGTTTAATGGCTTTGAAAGAATATTTTGTAAAAACAATGGAATGATACTATGTGTTCCATTTCTTCTTTGACGATGCATGTAAGTACTACTAACCCATGTAGTTAATACATAGATTAAGTAAAATACTAAAAATCCTACACAGAAAAATTAATTATTTTTCAAAAACAAATATTAAGATCGGAAATGTTCATTTTAAAAATATATATAACTATTATTAATCATCAACATTAAATAAGAGCAAGTAAATGAATTATTCTAAATCACTGGCACAAAGGTATTATGTTCCTCTGTAGATTTTGTAGTCATAAATTTGACCCCTAGTGTGGATGTGAGTATGCACTACTTGAAGTCCTCAAAATAGAACAAAACATCTGTTTGATAATTCCTAGTTTTCATTACTACTATACTTATTGTCTGTTTGTGATAAAAAAAAAGAATGATTATTATGTCATTTATAGATCATATAAGAAACAGAATTGTAGTAGTATGGTGACGACTGAAAACTAGTTATTGTGTTTATGATATAGTTTGAGATTTATATGTTATTAAAGTCGTTGTGTACTACTAACTTATTCATTTAGTATCGAAAAAGCAACTAAAAGTTTAGAAGTCAATTTATCGATTCGGAATAAATGTTGTTATATATTTAAAACTTTATTCTATGTATTATTTTTAATTTTGATAGCCAAACCGTCTTGAATTAACGCTCCTATTTACTTCTACTTGTTCCTCATAATTATCTGACTGAAAAAAGCTAGAATGTTAAATGATTTATGCAAGGGAATATCTGATAAGACTACATTTTATTCTTAACCATTTTTTACAAAAAGTTAAATCGATTCTACAATCTAGTAACTGATGTTAATGACTTTTATTAATCAGCAATGTTTTTGGAAATGCATTGAATAAATTATTCATTTTTGGCGATATTAATGACAAACTGTTGAGTTTAATATCATTTATATAGTTCTAAGACTAAATCAATATCATCAAGTCACAGAATACCACATTTTCTACATGAACATTAGAAATATTCAGACCATTCAAGATCGATATTAGTATTTGTGAACCAATTAAATCTGTCTAGATCTTCAATTTACAGACATGCTTTACATATATGTATATTGATGATAAGATATCTTTATTCTTTTCCATCAATCAAGAGAATTAAAACAATTTTTATTAATTTGTTGGAAAACTTATCTTATTTAGCTAGAGAAATTTCAAACTAGTGTTTTTATCATTTTCAAATAAAGATGAATAAGCATAATCAACTGACCAATAGCATCTGCGAAATAAATTTTCCGACGGATCAAAATTGATGCAGCCCAACTGACAGCAATCATATAAAATATGGTATCTTTTAAAAATGGTCTACGACTGATTTTAAATGGCTTTAAAAAGATGACCAATCCAGCTGTAACCGTATTTACCAGAAGACCAGATCCTATATTAAAATAAATAAATAAAATCATTATCTATGGTGATGATGACGACGATGATGTTTACTTTACATTACTAGTAGTAGTATGGTGTGTTTTTTTCCGACGTAAAAATGGGCAGCAGTCTTTACTATTCTTAATACAATGTTTTAAATTTAATTTGACTTGTTATGATCTTCAGTTCCGCTTTATGTACCAACTTTAACTTGACTAAATAAAGTATGCCCAGCATTTGTTTCTAAATCAAATTACTGTTTGTAACTTTAGGCTATTTGCAGCTAATATGAAATTTCGATACAGAATTAATTTATTTTATTCTGTAAATGTTGTTATTATCAAGGAATCAAGTTGTATGACATCCTAATATTTAAATGAATGTTTTGACAAAGGTTTAAATACCATGAAATTACTCCATTCTAAAAGAATATGCATAATTGGACGGTTATTAATAACCGTTCATATAAACTTTAATGTTATTTCAGTGACAAGAAGTCCTTTGAACTTCATATATTGAATACATTTGAAAACAAACTGACTTTCTATATATGAAGCAATCAATTCAAGTATTAATTTTAAACATTCAACCTTTATTAATCATATAAACTTCAATCAACCAATTTATTAAACCAGACAAATTAAACAAACATTAAAAATTTAATTCATATTTATGAACTATACGATTAAACTTAAATTAACTTTTGAACTTCACTGATTTATATTTCAAATTAGAGATTATACAATGGTTCGTTTGATTTGAATTTTCAATAATTCATTCGAATAATTCGGTTAGCACTTTGTGGATTCAAATATGAAGTTTACCGGAGATATGATAGATGATGTTACTATTTCAATAAACAACTCAACTATAAGTTTAATTTATCATTTCAATCATTCTAACTCGTTTTTAAGTTTTAGTTGAATATGAAAACTTTTGTGTACGGTACTGAGTACTTAGTAAAATATTTGTAGATGTTAAATGGAATCATTCCAAGAGATTTATTTTATTCATTGCTGGTCAGCGGCCTATGCTCCATTAGGAGTAACAGGCGTAAGTTTAAATAGAAATATTTTAAATGTTTAATAGTAGATGTTTCGTAATTTGAATAGTAGAATGAGAATTAAAACGTAATGAAAATTATATAACGTAAAACGGAATCCTATATTTTCGAAAAATTTAAAAAGCTAATTACGATAAAACGTAATGTTTGTAATAAACAACAATAAATATTGGTGTTTTATGTATTTATAAAAATGTATTTACCTAATAAAAACCCTAATCCAAGTCCTTCATCTGGTGCGTCAGGATCCCCAGTTGTAATGGCTGTGACTGCACTAAAAACATCTGGAGCCCCGTTGCCAAATGCTAAAAGTGTAACTCCCTAGAATTCCATTAAAGAGAATAGTTTTAAAAGTATATTTCCATAATTTTCCAAAAATAGTCTAAAATGAGTAATACATAAATCGATCATTTCTAACTTAATCAACTGGCATAACTTACATAACCTTAAAAGTGAAAAAAATATATTTATTTTGGAATATAACGAACAGTGGAATTCAGAAAACTTATTTCATCACATTTAAGACTCATCTTTTGGATATATATGTATTGATGAATACATTCTCACTAAATAATTATTTTCTAATGATTCCCCAGTAAGCTGTTATATTTTTCTCGACAGTTCTTGAAATAAAACTAATTATGTACAGAGTTATTTAAATTCCAATAGTTCATTAGTTTCAGTCACCATCCTCATTAATCTCAATGTCAATAAAACACAAATACGAAAGTTGTGATCGTTGTAGACCCAAGTCATTAGTTAGTATACAATTCAGATCTTCCAATCTTTTTCTTTGTTATCAAAATTATTTTAAAATCCAAACACAACCCATAATTTTTGAATGGATGGAAATCTTAGGATCTTATGGTCGATCGATACTATGCTTTATTCGTCTAACTTTCTTAAGCTCATATAAACGTCCATAAACAGCTTGTAAGTATTTGTACCGATTAAAACTATGTACAAAATGATGAAAGATTAATATCGATTCAACTTTGTGCTGAAGAGCCATTAGTCATCTTTCTTTTTAAACAATTATTTATCGTACTTCTTGCGGCAATGCATACAGTATTCAATGGTTGAAGATAGTCAGCAGGAAACCCTAGACCAAGATTTCGTGCTATTTAACACGCATCAGCAAGGTAGATCTGCGATCTTGATGAAGCTGATCCTCATACGTCATTCAGTGTCATATTTAAAAACGCTAAAATTGTACTATTCAGTGTACTTCTGATCATTTGTAGGACTGAGATTTTTATACCAAGAGAAAACCAATTGGTAAAAAATATCATTTTTAACTAGGCATTATTGTTGATCGAATTCCATCACCGACAGAATACACTAGAATACATTTTTGACTCAAATATCAAGAAACAATAAATTTAGACTTAATGTTTTTTTTAAATATTCTCTGGTGAAATATCTAAACTCTTTATGAAATTCAAGTACTATATGAGGGTTGTTCACATTCTGATGAATAAATTTGATTCACCACTGAAAAAACTACATTGAGTCACTTTTATCCCAGTTGCATATACTATAACATAAGACTTTTAATCTACATTTCTATATTATGTTTTAAACTATATATTAAGTTTACGTTTAAAGTTTCCCTTAATTAAAATACAAGGAATCAGAGTATTAAACTTACCGCTAAATTTTGACTCATCCGTAAACTTCGAGCCAAAGCAATAAGAGAGGTACTAAAGCTATGAGAATGTATTTTTATGAAAGAAAAGAAAGACTATACTAAATATAATCTATTAAAACCTATTAATATTTAATGAAATGAGTGATAAATAGGAAATGTTTATCTCGTCTCATATAGTTTATGTACAAGCTATCATATATAGATTTCACTATTAAAATTTGGTTGAAAAAAACAAGCAAAGTACTTAAAATTGAGTAATCAGTTACTTCTCATCAATTGTTTCTATTAGTCACATACTACTTAAAGTAGCTTCATTTGTTTTTTAAAATATTGTTGTTACTAGGTGATGTTTCATAGAATATTAGGCTGATATTAAAGGATATTCAGATGGTACAAAAACAATCACCGTTCTTATATACCATCGGATTTGTTTAAGTTTCAATATGAAACTCCTCAATTTATTCAACACATATGAGACTTTACAAAATGTAAAATCCGCACTTTAGGAATGTATCCAATTAAATATTTTCTTAAAAACAATAAATGAATAAAAATGGTTGCTTACAATGAGTCAGATATTGTTGCAAATGCCCCCAATAATACAATAAGCCAAAATATCTGTAAAAATAAATAAGTTAAACTGTTACTAATTCATAACTCAAAATTAACAGATACAATTTCTACATTATAAGCAAATACTGACTATAAGAATACAAGAGAATATATTTATATAAACATATAACGAGGAATTTGTTCTAATAAAGAGATATCAGCCGGACAGTTGATGAGAAAAGATCAAGAAGTACTAAAGAAATGTGTTTGTATAGTTTAGAATTCCTCAAACAATATATAGTAGATGTTGTTATTCATGAACATCAGATAATCTTTCGGGAATCTTATTCCAGAATACATCAAGTTTAAAATTACATCCAATGGTATCCGAAATATTCAAAAGTTTTAAATGTTGGTATAGTTATAAGTTGTGTGTAACATCATTTATTTGATCACATATTATGATTAAAATTAAAATATACGTCTTAAAATAATAAAACCAACTTAAAGCATTTATCATAATACTCATAAACCATTTAATAACAAAACAGTTGATCTAGTGATGTACCACCTGAAACATTATGAACTCATATTTTCACAGTTAAAATCACGAGTCGACCTAAGCTGAACCACCGTTGGAAATATAAAAACAATATCATGGATTAATTGGAGATAGACATTAACTCCACTGGATTCCGTTTTAGTGGTCTAGGAGTTAAGAATACGCGCGCTAGACTAAAGGCTCTGGGTTTGAGTCCTGAGTGCGGGATTGTGAATATGCACTGCTGAGGAGTTCCGTACTAGAACGAAACAGACTTCCAGTGCTTCCAGGTTTTCAATTATGATCTAGCTTATATCGATTTGTGATTCCAATTGTGAAAATACTACAATCTCTATAAATCCCCATTATTTATCTCATACTTAGCAATATAGTGAAATGCTTTTCTTAAAATTTATCGGTTAAACTAGAATATATAGGGTTTTGAAAAAGATATTGCATTCTATTTTGGAATGTTTCTGTCGTTGGTAGTATCAATAGATAAAATGATTTGTCTGTTTAAGTGTTTGTCACTGATTATCAATATATAATATATATAATATAATATATGGTATATGTTTTATTAATTAGTAATTATTTATGGAGCTAATTAAATATTATCTTAGAATTAATACTTGTTAACGGTATTAAAACTTAGTTGTTCTACATTATAAACTAGAAATACTTTAAAAACATTCTATCAATTCATTTACATCTTGAACAAAAGCTTAAAGTCCTTAATCAGCTTATACTTTATTTTAAAACCATTTAGACGTGATAAATGAACTTTTCAAAGCTTACAGAAATAATAAAAATCTATGAGAAGGTTCACTATCTCAAATGAGTTACAGAGTGTAATATGGATAACCTTGTTGAAAACAAAGAAGATGGTCAGGTGATTCAATTGTCAATCGACAATGAATAAATTAAAAGGATAACAATCTATTATACAAAATTCACTGAAATTCACAGTAATCCGTGCAAATAAGCTCTAGGATTATTCACATGAGATATATTTTGGAGAAGTATTACTAAGAAGTCTCAAACTTAAAAAGTAAACGATTTTCGATGACTTTTGGATTGTTATAGTTTACTTCACGAACTGACTCTATCTAGATAACCATAACTTCCATAAGTATCCTCACATACTGTTAATTACCCTGTGTTTATTAGCGATTAATTTCCAAGATTAATCCTAAGAGTTCTGTTGGGGAGCCGTTACTAGTGGAGTTCAACCACGTCGGTGTAACGTAGTTGCACACCAACCGTCTAGGAAGATAGTTGTACAATATCAAGAAACGATTGCAGTTAGAAACGTAAACCAATGAACTCCGTCCCAATTATCTGAAAGTTAAGTGGTTGTCACGAGACTCGAAGGTGCTGCATTCGACTGCATGTGTGATCACTGATTTGAACTGTTGAGTAGTCTGATACTAGGACAAGCAGATATTCAGTGATTCCTGACTTTTATTGCTTGCTTAATTAAGGTCAGTTCGTAATATTATCCATAAAACTTGACAATTTTCATCAAATCCCATCTCTTCTGTTTGTCCAACGAAAGTTTAATTGTAGTGAAAACCATTGTCATAAATTCTCTAAGTATTTTCTTAACTAACGATGTACCTAGCGTTTGCGGTAAAACGGTAAATAAATATATGCACTTGAAAAATTAAAAATTAACACATGACTATTTAAAGAGATACAGTAACAAAGAGAATAAAACAGTCTCATTCCGTCTATAGTTCATAAATTGATGTAAAACACAATGTCTTCATCATCACTGGTCGCAATTTTTTTTAAAAAAATTAATTTATGAATTATTTATCAGTTTCTGTATATTCAACACACCTATTTACAAATTCTTTATTTCACACTATATGTATAATACAAAATGAATTTGAACAAAAGTACAACTAACACATATTTAATAAGATGACCATTCTTTGTTAACACATTCTATACAATCTAGTTCAGTCCAGTTCTTTGCTTTCACATTACTGTCTACTTTTTTTTCTACCCGATAAGCCTATCTAGATACTTTTTCATCAAATCTCATTACAAATGCACACATTAGCTTTTTTTAAAAAAAATAATAGTCAGATGTAAACAAATGGTAAACTTCATTTTCTCTTTGTTTACTAACTTAATTTCATACTTGTTTATTTGTTTGTTTGCCTGTTTTTGGCTACTTTAGTCGAGAATAATCCTCGGACATATTATGCAATAAATTATCAATTACTTGTGCCAATTTTTACTTTACCACTTACTGCTCAACATATACAAATACATATATTGTATTTATTTAATTATCAATCTCAAGTCTTATGAATTTTAGTTTAGATACAGTTTTCATATGAAATACACATTTAGAAATTCATACATAGAAATAATTTTTGTATAAAACATAAAGATCTACCGTCGTTCAACACTTTGTTCTAGAGAATATCATATTCAAAAACTTGATCTAAAATCCAAAAATTAACAAGCAAATAATCAAATATTCAATAAGAATCAAAAAGTGAAAAATAGATCTGTTCAAATGTCATTCAACATCTTTCGAATATTACAATTATTTTATTGAACTATTTATAAATTCTAATTAAAATATTTTATTAGTAATGATACGACTTTCAAGAATTTTCAAACAATAGTTTCATCTTACACAAAACTCATCAACATATTCTTTCTAATTGTCATTAAAACAATAAGCATTTTTACTGAATTAAAACACTAGTTTAACAATTCTCATAGTTCTAGAAGATATCGTGATAGTACTAAGACTATAAGGTATATAAGGTATATATATATATATATATATATATATATATATATATATATATATATATATATTTAAATGTTGTCATACAATTTGTTCGAAGTTATTAACTATTTCAATATGGTAAAAATTAATACACAATATGCATATTTATCAAGTATACATAATAATTAGTAATAACTACTAGTCAGATAGATGTGTCCTAACCACAACTATTCAGCTTAATTGCTTAGACTCCTTATACTTTTACTACCTCTACCATTATGGGATTTGAATAGACAACTGCATCTCTGTGCTAATGTGGTATGGCAACTCGAACTAATGCACGTACGTACAAAGTTCTACGTTGTTACTGACTGACTGACTGAGACTGAGTTCTGTAGCTGTATACAATGAGAATTTTAGTTTAGAGAACAAAACCACTGTTTAGTACCAGCCAGTACAATAACTTCATTTTAGGCTTTTGAATTATGACACAAGTGAATATCAACTCTGAGGTGTAGATACACCGAAATGACGAGACCCAATTTGAGATGAAACACGCGTCCTAGATTCCAGTGCTAGCCATTATCCATCTCTACTTATGATGTTAGCGGCTTAAGGCAACATCGAGGCAATCCTCATAGGATGCACATAAATACTGTTTACGTTAAATTTAACTTTATCATTATATTTCTTCATATTTCTTCCATTGGGAGTCATAAAACTTTAATTTGTTTTGAAACTATAAACTATAGCATTTTAATTTAATAGACAAATGATTTATTTTAGGTTAAGCATAGGATTAATTTTTAATGTTAATCAGTAATATGTGTTGTTTCATACAAAACCGCTTTTATTACACAGTAGTGAAATCTATTCCAAAAATCTTTTTGGAATCCTAAACGATTCTCTACCAAATGAGCGATGAAACTAAATTCCTGTTATTTTCAACTGTTTCACGAATCGAAGAGTACAGCATGTTCTTCACTTTACTAAACTTGCAGTCAAATCAGGTTGTCTTCGTTTCATATTTAAGATATAGTAGATACCATCGATCACTGATTGGCAATGGATTGAACATTCTGAGATAAAAATTACGCCTTTTACATTATATAACAATTAATTAATGTACATAGAATGCTTGGTTTCAATACAATCTCAACATTTTTAACTTATGAAGAACTAATTTACAAATTAATCGTAAACCATTTATTCTAAATTAGCTCATATTGGAAATTCCGGTCATTCCTAGAGTTTAACAAGATAAGAATTGAATCAACTAAGTTGTATCCACGTATATGTTATGACTTAGTTTAAGACCATTGAAAATAATCTAAAGCACCCCTAGGTTCAAAAAAGTCTGATCAGTTTCAGACAGCTTATACATCACTTGCGTTTGCAATGAGTATAATTTAAATCAAAACTTGATGACACAATAGTCTTATCTACTTAGATATTTTTATTCGAATGTCGCTATGATGAATACAGTGACCGTGAAGGTTGATTATCAGAAATAAAAGTTCCTATGTAGAAATGTCACCTGGTCCAATTCATCATTTAAACTCAACAGATCCATCTTTTTATTCAGATGACTACAAACAATAATCAACTAGAACGTCATTGAAAATCAAAGTTCACTGAACATATGTGCAACTCTAGTCTATAACTCTGTAGTGATATCTATAAATGATCCTCCACAAGGTTCGACCCATGACATTCTAGCCTTTAGGCAAGCACGAAAACATTGGGTACTTGTATTGGATCCCAGTC